TATTAGTGTAGACAGGATTCAATCTAAATATAGCTTGTCATATACCTGGTTCTTGGAACTCTGAAATGAGACGTGAAATTTGATATGCAAATGAATGTCACAGTGTCTAAAACTATTGGTGACTCAGGATATTTTTTTTTTCATCCTACATTGTTGTAGCGGGTAATGTGTGATATGTTATCTTTCTATATACCAAGGTTTATTACTTTCGTAGATTGATTTTTACACATCAGTTAATATCTCACTGTAGAATCCAGGTGTCAAACCTTAAATGAAGTTTATAGAATTGTGCAAATAACGCATCATTAATATCTCCTTCCTAATCTACTTAAACTCTCATCATTTTCATTAAATTTGTCAATTTTTATCTGATTGTGTTACCAGGATACGCACAGATTTAAGAGATTAGAGCCATCCAAATTACAGACTTTAGCTAAGATGTCTGAAGATAGTATGCAATTTGACAAATATCTAGACGACCTTGTGGACATGCCTAGAGTCCCTGGTACGGAAACTAACGAGTTAGCTCGTGAGGTAAGATTTTTTTCTTTGTAAAAAAAAAATATTTCAGGAGGGGTATCGTTCATTTTGTTTATTTTCTTGATCACTGACTATATGTAATCTTGTGAGCAAAGGAAGAAATGTACGCAGTAATTTACTTCTATACTGGTTTAAACACATTGACCACTGAAAGCTCTCTCGGTTAAAAAACATTTGTACACAGATTGCTAATATACTGCATAAAAAAGCTCTTTCAGGCAATATGTGTTAATGTAGATTTGAATTTACTGCCTACTGCCTTTTTTATCTTATCGACGTTGTTTTCAAGTTTTCAATACCCATCAGCACGCTGGTGTTCTTTTTTTCTTGTCGCTCATTTCTCATTTCGCTTTGTGCAATGTACATCTTTTTGTTCAATATTTAATTATTGTTATATTTCTGTTTTCAGAGAATCATTGGGCATATCAAAGATATAGGTGGTTGGAAAGTTGAACTTGATGCGTTCGATACTGATACCGTCATTGGGCCAGTACACTTCGTGAACATCATCGCTACCCTGAATCCAACAGCCAATCGGAGACTTGTATTGGCATGCCACTATGATACTAAGTTGCTTCCCTCAGTTGATAATGTGGAGTTTGTCGGCGCTACGGATTCGGCGGTGCCATGTTCAATGATGTTAGACTTGATCTATCATCTGGATACTTATTTAAAAGCTTTTAAGAGAAAGGTCAGTACATGTTCCATATCTTGTATTTTAATCCCAAATGGAAAAAAAAAAACATGATTTGGTTGAAAATGTCAATGGAAGTTAATGCTCACTAAACATTCGTTGTGTCGTAATCTAGAGATCCATGTTACAGTATTTTTGAAACAGACAATTCTGATGTATCTCCAATAAAACTACATTTCCCAAATGAGGAACACTATAAAATAAGTGGTCAGTGACAATAATAATCTTGTTTCCCCAAAACTCAAAATTTGAAGACTTCAGATTTGACTAAATAGTCCAAATCGAGATTATTTATAATTTCTATTTCATCAGATTTTTTTTAATAATTTCGAGTTTAAACTGATATATACCGGTAGATACAAGTTAAATTACTATAAATATATTTCAACGCTTCAGTGTGCATATTTAATAAACAACATCTAAAAAGATTTATCTCTTCATTCATTAGGAATTAAGGCGTCATTTTCCTGTCAGCATTGGTTTAATACCACAGGAGAGTGATACCTATAAAAGAATCCCTCGTGGTCTATGATTGGATAATATTTTAGTTTGTCTTATTTATAATTCATACCAAATGATGTTATATATCATAACCAGCTCATGTTTCTATTGTGTATATTTATGAAATTCATTACATCATTTTTTTTTTAAATATTAAACCTGGTATGTTTTGCTTTGCATAAAACACAAATGAAATGTTCGTCCAAACCACAGGTTGTCCAAAACGAAAGAGGAGCTTGTTTCAATATTTACGTGTAATGGATATTTAATAGTGTATATAAACCACTTCAGTTCTGTGTGTATTTTCGCAAATATGGCGAGACGGTCGCTCTCAGAGTCGCTCACAGGAAATTGAGTGATCGCTCTCTAATTTGCAAATTTCATTTATTTGAGCCATCTTTTGAAGGATAATTTGTCCGTAGATTCGACTTCCACCACATTTTAGAACAAATCTGATTTTTGTTCATAATAGAACATGGTTATAAATTGGGATATGGTATCAACATATCAGCCGTATTACAGTTGTCAATAACTGAAAGCACTGCAGTCGTCGTGCAGCGTTAGTTAATAGTTCATGTTAATAAACAATAAACAAACACTTTATATCGTTGTAACAATGCCCCTTATAATATAGGCAATCTCACATAATCTCTAATGCTCGAAAATGTGCATAATATAAATTGAAATCTGATATTTTCCATTCTATTATATTTGAACTTCCATTTATTTTTGTGAACTCCATTCAATTCTATAGAATTCTGTTGAACATTTTCAAGATACACAAATACATATCCAAACCATTTTTTTTTTTATAAAATTTTAAATTCTATTTAATTTCAATTACTATATAAATTCTATTAAGTACTATAGAATTGTATACAGCTGTGAAATTTTCGAAATATTCAGGTACGCCAGATGGCGCTTGCACCTAGTCAGGATATGAAGTCTGGATTTCTCCATGAAATAAAATATTGTTATTAAAAAAAAAACAAGATTGCATCTTCCATATCATATAATATCTATTGCTTTGAACAATGAGATATGTCTGTATAAGATATTTCATGGATTATCTCTTGGTTTTTATCCGCAAGATTAAGATTTTGAATACGGGAGATCCGGTATAATTTCAGTGCCTAGTGGAGAATCGAAAAGGTCACTCGTGAATAATTCACCCGACTGGCAGCGCAAGACGTATCATCATCTATCCTATCATCTCGTAACTGATCTTTAGCTGTATTGATAAGGATACTGCCGTTTTTTTTATGAGTATATATGAGCTTGTATGTTTGCGAGGGAGATGTACGTTGTAAACAATTGTGATCTTTACGGCTCTCGCTTCGGTGATACCTCAATCTTACTCAATTACATCATGCATAAATGCATTAATAGTCTGGTTAAATACATTTGTTTGTTTTTACTTATGCTCCCGTCTCACCTATCTGTGTTTATCTTGCAACATGAATCTACTACGCATCACATAAATTTTGTTCATTTTTTTTTTCATAATGTCGTCCTTTTGTAGATACATTTTATTTTTTTCCCTCTTAAAATATATAGCAAAAACAGAAATGTGCAGAGCGGAAACTTTATAAATCACAGACATCGGGTGTTCATCTTAATAAAAGGAGACAGAACAAAATCCGTGTACAGGTACATTTCGAAATCCACTAATTTATTCATTCCAGGGAGTTCAAAGTTTAATCTATTTTTTTTTTTCATTTTCTGAGAAGAAGCTGCTGCTGAAAAACAGTAATGTGTTATGTATACGTAAACCTTTGTTCGATTTCACAATGAAGGCAAATGGTTCATATGCCCTTTCGTGACTGGATTTTTACATTATTTGTTGGCTCGGAGACAAATTGCACGGCTCACCTTACATTTTAACTGGACTTTGAAGACCAATCAAAATGTAGCTTGTATATATAGCGGTAAATCTGTACTTGCGTTATGTAGTCCCACACCGATAACTTCGCCCCGGGGCTGCACTGCAAATGGTACTGTTTCCCTACTAAAGAGATTAATAGCAAGTACACTACGTCACTCTTATCTGGTCATTACCTTTGCTATTTGTTCCACGGACTCGGATGTTCTTCATGGCCTGTGGGCTCAGCATGTAGCTGGTACCCACTCAAGTTGATTGAAGTTTGCCACGGTATGATTACATTACCACAAAAGGTTTCTTATTCCATGCCAGCCATATACAGTCGTGAGCCTCTACTTTGGAGAGGCAGAAAAAACCAAAACAAGATATTTTCTACCTATTGAAGCATATGCCTTCAGCGACACCGGAAATACTGAACTTATATTGTCATTGATATTCATATACTCCAGTAATTTGTGGAAATATGAAAGTTAGGAGATAACTCGCTTCAGGATTTGGGATTATAATAAAAATTGGGGGTATTTTTTGAAATAGATTTCTTCGTAATGATTGCTGTGAATTGTATGAATAATTAATTTGAATTATGCTTCTGATTTCTTTAAATTTTAATGAGGAAAAAAATCTGTCAGTAAATGTCTAGGCAATGTTTGTGTATTTAGATTGATACATACATGACGCTGGTATAGTCAATTCATGTCATTACATGTCTCTCCCAATATAGTGAGCTGCTTATTAACTTTATTTGGCAAGTTTAATATGAAATTGATGTTTCCTTCTCGAGATCAATTCTTGAATTGGATGAGTGAATCAATTCTTGCCATATTTATTGACTGTCTTCAATCACGTATAAATGTTTCTTGTATTATCTGAAGACATGTAGTAGACAACATGAATAACAACAAAAACACATTCAACATATTTGGTACAATTTGGGAGAAAAATAAAAAAAAAAAGAAAATCTGTGAGATGGTGAAAACACAACTTCTTCCCCCTCATGTATTAACCAAGACTATGTGCATGGTTGCATGGCAACCAGAGAACTGAAAATTTGTCCACTGATTGGTTCAGAGATGTTTGAGCTGAACCCTCACATATGATGGTTATACCGCCCTCAGGCATATATCTTGCTTTTGTTTTTATGTTGCATTCTGTTTATTTACTGTATATATTTTTATTTTATTTTATTTTATTTTCCTGCAGGATATTACTCTTCAGTTGTTGTTTTTTGACGGTGAAGAGGCGTTCAAGCAATGGACATCAACCGATTCAATCTATGGAGCCAGACATCTAGCTGAGAAGATGTCAAAGACCCCCCATCCTCCAGGCAGCAAAGACACTACAGAACTTGATGCTATCGTAAGTTTCCTCCTTGTGATTTGTCCGATATATGTATGAATTGATATATAATTGATATGAATTCACATATTACTACCTAGCCTACTCATCTTTCACATATTACCACCTTACCTCAGGATTAGTACATGCTATACATGATTAAGATGCTTACTCATCTTTCACATATTACTCGTCTTTCACATATTACCACCTAGCTTACTCATCTTTCACATATTACTACCTAGCCTACTCATCTTTCACATATTACTACCTAGCCTATTCATCTTTCACATATTACCACCTTGCCTACTCATCTTTCACATATTACTACCTAGCCTACTCATCTTTCACATATTACTACTTAGCCTACTCATCTTTCACATATTACCACCTTGCCTACTCATCTTTCACATATTACTACCTAGCCTACTCATCTTTCACATATTACCACCTTGCCTACTCATCTTTCACATATTACTACCTAGCCTACTCATCTTTCACATATTACTACCTAGCCTACTCATCTTTCACATATTACTACCTAGCCTATTCATCTTTCACATATTACCACCTTGCCTACTAATCTTTCACATATTACTACCTAGCCTATTCATCTTTCACATATTACCACCTTGCCTACTCATCTTTCACATATTACCACCTTGCCTACTCATCTTTCACATATTACTACCTAGCCTACTCATCTTTCACATATTACTACCTAGCCTATTCATCTTTCACATATTACTACCTAGCCTATTCATCTTTCACATATTACCACCTTGCCTACTCATCTTTCACATATTACTACCTAGCCTACTCATCTTTCACATATTACTACCTAGCCTACTCATCTTTCACATATTACTACCTAGCCTATTCATCTTTCACATATTACCACCTTGCCTACTCATCTTTCACATATTACTACCTAGTCTATTCGTCTTTCACATATTACCACCTTGCCTATTCATCTTTCACATATTACCACCTTGCCTACTCATCTTTCACATATTACTACCTTGCCTCAGGATTAGTACATGCTATACATGATTAAGATGCCTACTCATCTTTCACATATTACTCGTCTTTCACATATTACCACCTAGCTTACTCGTCTTTCACATATTACCACCTAGCTTACTCATCTTTCACATATTTTTACCTAGCCTACTCATCTTTCACATATTACTACCTAGCCTATTCATCTTTCACATATTACCACCTTGCCTACTCATCTTTCACATATTACTACCTTGCCTACTCATCTTTCACATATTACCACCTTGCCTACTCATCTTTCACATATTACTACCTAGCCTACTCATCTTTCACATATTACTACTTAGCCTATTCATCTTTCACATATTACCAACTTGTCTACTCATCTTTCACATATTACTACCTTGCCTACTCATCTTTCACATATTACCACCTAGCTTACTCATTTTCCACAAATTACTACCTAGCCTATTCATCTTTAGCTTATTACCACCTTGCCTACTCATCTTTCACATATTACCACCTTGCCTACTCATCTTTCACATATTACTACCTTGCCAACTCATCTTTCACATATTACTACCTAGCCTACTCATCTTTCACATATTACCACCTAGCTTACTCATCTTTCACATGTTACTACCTAGCCTATTCAACTTTCACATATTACCACCTAGCTTACTCATTTTTCACATATTACCACCTTGCCTACTCATCTTTCACATATTACTACCTAGCCTACTCATCTTTCACATATTACCACCTAGCTTACTCATCTTTCACATGTTACTACCTAGCCTATTCAACTTTCACATATTACCACCTAGCTTACTCATTTTTCACATATTACTACCTAGCCTATTCATCTTTCACATATTACTACGTAGCCTACTCATCTTTCACATATTACTACCTAGCCTACTCATCTTTCACATATTACTACCTAGCCTATTCAACTTTCACATATTACCACCTAGCTTACTCATTTTTCACATATTACTACCTAGCCTATTCATCTTTCGCTTATTACCACCTTGCCTACTCATCTTTCACATATTACTACCTTGTCAACTCATCTTTCACATATTACTACCTAGCCTACTCATCTTTCACATATTACCACCTAGCTTACTCATTTTTCACATATTACTACCTAGCCTATTCATCTTTCGCTTATTACCACATTGCCTACTCATCTTTCACATATTACTATATTTTTGTTGAGGTTGTCTTGATTTGGCTGAACTTATACTCAGTCTCAGCAATTGACTCGGTGTGCACTGTTATTGACCTCATGAAAACATAACGATTTACAGTTTACTGGCAATCATTCGGCTGAACAAGAGTCTTGAAATAATGACATCAGACTAAATGTTGAATTGTCACTTACTCTGGACCTTTGAAAAATCCATCATAGTCAAGAATTTCTTTCCTTATTATCATATTTAAAGTATTGTTTCTGAGTACACTTTTTATAAATTAAAATTTTTATAAATCAAAATGACTGGTAGAATTCTAATTGACCAATCCAGAAACAATATGATGACATCATCACAAGTTCTAATTAAAATATTAATGAGGTGGTTTAACATCATCCATTCAGCAAGCCTTTCATTTTGAATAATCTAGTGATGGCAGTTGAAAGCTTGTAAACGCATTATGTGCTTGGACATTGCGGGGGTCTCAAGCCAATCATTGTTAAATATTTGAATTTGAATAAAAGCTAATGATTGGTATTTACGGTGTTATTAAGTATTGTGTATATTTTTATAAACTATGGTACAAGTTTTCTGCCTTTTATTGTAAAAAGAAATCATGTCATTGTTAACTGATTTATTTGTGCTAAATTTGTATTTTGCAGGACCTTTTTGTACTTCTTGATTTACTAGGTGCAGCGGAACCGCAGATTGTCAATCATTACGAAAATACAAGATCTCAGTTTGAAAAACTACAAAAAATAGGTAAATCTGCTTGTTTTACGGACTGTTATGGTAACTCTAAAGGTAACTCTAGAGGGTGCTAGACATGATTAAGTACCAATCCTGATTGTCAAGTACCATATCACCATAAGCCGTTCTATGTTTATCCCAATGTTGAAAAAACTTATTTTTCATTAAAGAAGGTATAATAATTTTGTTTATATATTCATAAAAATGTTGCATATATCGCCTTGTTGGAAGCGTGCATCAGACAAAAATGCAATAATGTTTACTGGATCTTTAACATGTGATTTATCTTTACCATAAAAACACTACAAGTACGGTATTTTTAATAACAGGAAAATCTGTCACATGAACAAAATGTCTCTCACACCGTATAATTATCAAATTTGTTTTTTTCTCATTGACGAACTTGTTACACATGCTTTGTTGTGCAATTCGGTTTTCCTCCCTCTCATCAAGTTTCCACTGTATTTCTTTAGAGGAAAGACTTCATTCCGGTAACCTTCTAACCAGGAGTTACAAAGCAACAAAGCCTTATTTCCGAGGAAGTAGCAAAACAGTGTACGGTCAAATCGAAGACGACCATAAACCGTTCAAAGAAAGAGGTGAGATTGACCGCAGAATCTGAAATCCGATCAGATATTTTTGAGAATCTAATGTGTTCAATTCTCTCAGAATATTCCGACTGTGTAAACACATATTTTCCAATCTGATGAATCAAATGCAGTTTTTTTTTTCTTTTTTTTAATATTTTTTTGTGCCAGGCGACAGTTCCGGACATTGAATGTCACTGTTGCCTCGTCTGACTTCTTTTTTTTTCTTGTATGTGCAAATTGCAAATGTTAGTGCTGACGCATAGTGCATTTTTGCCACAGAAGTCATATTCAAATGCAGTTTTGTTAATTTTTGGCCAAATTGACAATTACACAAGATAATATTTGTGGCAGGTGATGCAAATTGACTTTAAAAATAAAATTAATAATTAGATTAATAATATATCTTGGTACATGCATATACACTCAAACTGCATATAAAAAAAATTACAATTCTTACCATGCAATATTCTTCATCTGTTTCAGGTGTTCCAATATTACACATGATAACAACACCGTTCCCTAGAGTGTGGCACACTTTGGATGACAACAGAAGCAACATTCATGGCTCAACTGTGGATAACCTGAGCAGAATATTGAGAGTATTCGTAGCTGAATACCTCGGACTAGATATTCCATCAAAACGAAAGTAAATGAATGGAACTAGATGAAAACAGAAAACCAAGACATGTCTGTCAACAAATTTGATATAAGATGTCCCGATCTATTGTAATGTTGTGTCAAACCTTTTCTTGTGGGGTTAGGTAGGGGGTGGGGGAGGCTGCATTATGCTTGTTTTTACTTGATTAGTATGCATTTAATTATTTCAAAACAAAACTTATTGTCTTATTCTGTATTCGCAATAACATTTGTTGTTGTTGGTTGATTTTGGGGTTTCATAAATCCCCTACTTTCGTACTAGTTGCCTGGGACACAATCTGATTAATATCATACATAGGAAGTTTCCACTTGCTTTGAACTGGCATTAACTTATATTGCCTTGACCTGCATTTGACAGCTGTAGTCGCATACATATTTCATACTACTGGTACGTTCTATGATGCTCTGATTTGCAAACAAAGCCCATCAAAGAAAAGCATCTTTTGTTTAATAACGAGAGATGACGACCGCTGATGACCAATGCCCTACCCCCGAATAAGTTAAGACATTAGTACTACTCGTGGAACTTCCCACCCCAACCCCACCCACACTTTTAATAATATTAATTTAATATGGTGGTTTGTTTTTATCTTGGATTTGGTACGTCTCTGACGTTATTTTTTCTGCGCAATGCCAGAGATAAATCTATTTTTATATTCTTCATATTGTACATACATACATACATACAGACAGACATTACAAAACAGAGCTGAGATACATTACTTACGATTGGAACCGAAATACACATTTTCTTGGTAATATCAGCGATTCATTTGCTTAGACTTTTTATTCGAGCCAAACATTTATTTATATATTTCAGGACAAAACAAATAAAAACATAGTGACGATCTTTGTTTTAGGCACCTGTGATATATTTGATCTTGCATACAGGTGATGTGCCAGATGCAATTTGTTGTATTATTCTGGGTCAAATCAAATAATAAAATTGTGATTTAAATATCAGGGATTATTAATACATCATGTTATTTACATCGCTGTTCGTGTTACCCAGTGTGCATCGCTTTATATGCATTTCATAAAAGCATATACACTAATAAAATCAAGACTTAAATAGAAGAAAAAATTTGCATACTTAAATATGTACTTATTAATATTGTAGTACCTTTTATTTTTTTTAATTAGAGGTTAATTATAAAGGTCTTGTGACTTTGTTATCCGGGGGCTGTTATTTGCATTCTGTATTACGCATATGTTTTCATTAACTTCAACAGTATTAACATTTCTGAAATAATACTGAAGGTTTGCTTCTCGTTGTTATGCCTGGGTTGCTATGTCGTGTATAAAACCATATTTGAAGTAGCACTCTTAAGATCTTTCATGTTGCTGCATTCGGGCTTGTTTCAACATTAATTATTTATTTGTTTGTTTGTTTGAATTTAAAATTCTATGAGATGGATTGACATGTGTACTGAATCCCTGCTCGTCACAGTAATACAGAACAGAGTGGATTTGGATGATGTGAAAAACTGGAACGAGAACGGGGGTAATCTGGGTGATGTAGAACAGGGGTAATGTGAAACGGGGACATCTGGGTGATGCGAAACCAACCAAATTTTGCAATATTTTAATAATTCATTCATATTCACATAAAGCTCAGAGTACGGCAAAGTAGTGGCAAAGTACGGCAAAGTTGTGGCAAAGTACGGCAAAGTGCTGAAAAGTAGTGGCGAAGCTCAGAGTGCAACTTCAATAAAGCATTAAGAATGTATTAAGGTAGAAGTCTACAAGGTACTCGTAATTTGTGAGAAATTTAAGTTGCATGGGCATAAATCATTGATTTATTAAGTGAAATCGCGTATTGCCACATAGCAACATGAAATAACATTGTTTTGTGGATTTTCAGTGATTTTTTTAAATAATTCAGAACAACAAACAGTACCCCATCAATCACAATAATTTTCTTGAATATTAAGTAAAATTTATTGCAAAATGAATAAATTCTGAGTATTTGCATGTATAAGTAGACTTCTACCTTAATTTATTGTACATTTATGCTTTTGGAACATAGTTCATAAACTATGGGCCTGTATTTTTGCTTACGTATTTTAAGCTCGCTACTCAAAGTCCAAATATTTTTTTTATCTGTAACTCAAGGTGTGAGAAACATTTTAAATGCATTTTTTTTTTTTAAGTTTTTTTTTCTTTTGTACCAACCCTTGAAATTTCACTTTATTTCACTTTTGCACCACGAAAGTGCGTACAAGAAATGAAAATTATTATGTTGTGTCTAATCTGTACGAATATCGAAGAAGCAAGTTTTTCGGTAGAATCTCATCAACTGATTGTGAAATATCGATGACCACGAGTGTCAATAACACCTACAATTCTAGCGGTATAGTTATCATGGCGATATAGACACCCAAGAGCTGTTTTCTCTGATTTTTTTGTAAAATACAAAAATGCAGTTGTGCTCAAACTCTCAGATCAAGCATGTGTAATTTTCACAAGTTATATTTTTTAACCTGCATTTAATTATGTTCTATGTTATAAATTGAGGATACCTGATGATGGTATGGACTCTTTCTCACCTCCAAAAAATATTGGTTCAGTACAGGAACTTTTATAGCAGACACTGAAAAACTATCAAACAATATTAATTGTGTGACACCTTGACGTAGCAAATAACTTATCATTTACAGTAAAAATAATTTTATCTTGGAATTATAACGTAGTTGTTGTCGATAAATAAAATTTCGATGAATGAACGCATTGACTGGATGTTTGTAAGTTGGTTATTTTCCCCTCACATGTAAAAGATGCAGTTTTAATAACTTCCTCACAGGTGAAAGATTCAGTTTGAATAACCCCCTCGCAGGTAAAAGATTCAGTTTGAATAACCCCCTCGCAGGTAAAAGATGCAGTTTGAATAACTCCCTCGCAGGTGAAAGCTTCTGTTTATATAAATTCCTCACAGATGAAAGATTCAGTTTAAACAACTCCCTCGTATGGTTTGTGTATTTCGTAAAAAAACATCTCCACACATACAGTTTATTTAAATTGTGGCCCAAATTACAGCTGTAATATTCAGTCCTATGTATACAATTTGACTTCTTCACAACTAGACTTGAAATTATAAAGATCTCAATTGACCAGGGTTCATTAGAAACACTACTTGACCCTTTAATAAAGTAGTGGCAAGACAATTTTTCCCTATATACTAGTATTCTATTTTCAGAATGCAAATGAACATAAAACTAAGCCAATTGCGGCCTTGACTTTCCAGTTGATACAACTTGCAAAATCGCTAGAAACAATATATACTGTGGAATACTTTATTTTCGCTGGAATTAATTTTCGCTAAAAAGGCTTTTTGGGCGTTTTGCTTGGAATTTATTTTCACTGATTTTTGATGAGATTAATGTAAAATATAGGAAAAAATGTATATTCGCTGGATTTTATTTTCACGAAATCATCCCTTCAGCGAAAATAAATTCCAAGCGAAAATAAAGTATTCTACAGTAGTTGAGTCTCGTAAAACAGAACATAATATGAACATTTGATGATACAAGAGCTGTTCTTATAGTTTATTTTTATTGAACTAAAATCGATATATTAATGTCATGATACAGCATCTCTATGGTTCAAAAACAAAAGTTATGAATAATATTTGTATAATACCATATTTAATATGGAATGATCAAATTAAGAAAAAAAAAAAAAAGATTACAGTTATCTGACTGTCACATCTGGAAACAAGACCCTTGATCCAGCTACCATTCTTTTCCTTTTTTCTTAATATTTTACCAGTATAAAATAGTATAAAAATTTATAATACATTCTTATACAAATAAGTATTTACTTTGAATAAAGTACTTCTCCACAGCTAGAATTGGGAAATAAAACTAAAATTCTTAGAAATGCGCTAGTTATGAAACTTATCAAAATTACTGTAAAATTACCCAATATGTTGTTATAAATGCACAGAAAAAAGTGGCAGGCATCAATACTCAGTAGCCACACAGACTACTAAACTTTGTATTTTAAAAAAAAGAAAAAAATCCTCAAGGTGTATTTAAAAAAAAAATACATACAAAAAAGAAAGTTGATATGAAAACTATTTTTTTTTCACTACGGAATGATTCATTAATTATTCAAAGCACTTGGGCTTTATTTCTAGAATGTTGGTTCCACTAAATCATTGCTTTTATGCCACCCCACCCCACCCATCCCATCTTCCCATCTATATTTCTATAAAAAATTACTTATATTGGGGTAATGTTCTATTCTGTTGGGGTAATGTTCTACAAGACAGTCCTATTTTTGAAATGCCATAAAATAATCTATATTGCAATAAAAAAAATTGTAGGCAACATATGACATGGAAATATTGAGTGTGACAACCATCTACAGGAAACCCACCCCTCAACTGAAATTAAACTATAGAACACTATATGGTAGTTGAATTAAAAAAATAAATAACCCTTTTTTTTTAATAACATACAAGTATTTTTTTGTTACAATTTACAAGAGGTAATTAATTTACATATTACTGTAATTACAGTAGAACGAAAAATAAAGATTCCTTTACTTTTCCTAAAAAAAAAATGATATGACAAAATCTTGTAGTATATATACAAGCCTTGTTTTAATTGGATAATGATGATGTATCATTAACCAATCAAAAGAACATGTATATCGCTGGTAGGTCGTTTGAATAAACTTCGGCAAGATAATGTAAATGGTTGAAATGTTACACACAAAAAACAACCAATCTGTACTAATAAATTAATGCTATAATAATAAAAAAAACATATACGTGCGGTACTTTTTCTGCAGAAATCGTGAAATGGAATACACTACACAACTAGACGAAATGCCAAATTTTTTTAAGTAAATGTCAGTCAGTACATGTATACATCTAAAATTTCGTCCACAAAAAGGTTGCATTATTGATTTGCTCGTTTAATTCAAGGTGACCTAATACACAATATATTGGCACGCCTTGCCATTTCTATTAGAGCTATTAACCTTTCATTTAATTTTTCTAATAACGAATACAGTTCAAAATAATCTTTTAGGCTTCAAAAATCCTCTAAAACACAACCATCTTATTTTTCGTATTAAATCAATAAATGTTGATGGAAGTGTCATGTTTACATACTGTAAAACACGTCTTTCTCGCGTCTTTCTTTGCGAATTTAGCGAGAGAACTGATTCGCTAATTCAAGATGTCGCTAATGACTTTATTATCAATTCAAAATGGCCACCAAACAAAGAAATCAACAATGACAAGAGAGATTCGCTAAATCAACATTTCGCTATTACGTCATTTTACCAAAATTTGCTAAAATTGCATGCCGCTTTTTCAACATGTTTTACAGTATATAAGTTGTAAATTTACCAATGCTTTCTCCGAATATGGAAAGATCCAGTTCCCTTATTAAGAATCTTAATCTGGGTGTAGTTAATTATTCCACAACCAAATGATGATGTAATCCTTGCCCAGTAAGTAAATTACTTCCACACAGCATTCAAAGTTTAATTTTCCCCTTACCCCCCCCCCCCCCCCCAAACAATGAAAACGTCTGGCACAGGACAGAGCAAAGCCAGTCTAATCATGTTATGTAAATGAACAAAACCTTGCAAGTCTGATTCATTTTTAGCACCAACTGAATGAACAAATATCAAACATAAAATTAACGACTAAAATAATTTTTATCTTGTTGTAAATGCATCTATTGTGTAAACTGTCGTTGCTACGCGGTAAATACAGTCGGACAGGAAGAAACAAAAAATAGGAAAACATATAAAGTATTAAAAATTAAAAGAAAGAAAAAAATGATATATAAATAATATACATATAGCATTCAGTTACATTGAGATGAAGAACTCAGCACACTGGTAAGAATTAAGATACGATTAATAAATTCTGGAAATACTATTTGATAATACACCAAGAAAATAATAAACAAACAGACTGACAGCTGGTAATGCAGATTTTTGTATGAAATAAATATCAGTTGGGACCATGGGATGCAATGCAGCCATCTGTTAAAGTTACGCGACACTCCAGGTATCAATACATCCCACATGGGTGTAAGCTATACTACTGACTAATCTGCTCTATGTAATAACCAGCTGCAGTCATATCCCTGTCTGTCAAAGTACTTAATAATTTGAATTCAAGTGAATAATTTAATAATAGCTTACTTCAAAGTCATTCTTTTACAATTTTTTTCTTAAACATGGTGATAATAAAAAAAAAAAAATCAGTGAATTTTTTTTTCTAAATTCAAGAAATGCCAAAGAGCATTAAAGGCACAACATACTTCCATTGAGAGAGAATGCCATGACATCTTACAAACTGTCAGCATGACCTCTCACCTTTGACCCGTGACCTAGTATACTACAAGCACCAGTGTCTCTTACTTTGTTAAAAAAAACATACCAAAAATACACCACTTGGTCATTTTTTCCTAGTAGACAGACAATACACTGAAGATGTTCTCAGGTTTTCTAGTCCATACTTCGTCCATAGAAAACTCTTTAAATGGAATGATTAAATATGGTTGATTCAGTGTCACTCTGGCCTTGATACCTTAATGTCTCCAACTGATTGCTGCAAGTCTGTTGCATCAACACTTTGACCCTGAGAAAGACATACACAAGGCAAATGAATTATTACTAATACTATAGTGACAGGATGGCGAAAACAGAATTTCCTTTTGATGGACACAACTGTCAAAATACTATAGGCAGAATATTCTCTCCCACGGCAATATACAGTATATAATTTGAATAAACATTACAGCTACATTAAGACCAGAATTTTTTTTTTTTATTTTAATTTTAAAATTGTCTCAACATTTCATTTATTTAGATTTTTCAGGAAATTGAATGTTTCATTTTCTTGAAAATATTAGAAACAAGCAGCCTGTCGGCTGAGATAGCTCCTCTGTTAGCAATGCACATGGCAATTAAAGAACAGAAGATATCATTAGAAAATGAACAAATCTGAGAGAGGTCCACATGTAGTACCTATATGTATAATATATCAAAGCAATTGGACTTGCGGTTTTCAACAAGAAGTCGAAAATATCACTTTTTACCAAAAATTACAAAAATATTCATTAAAATTAGAGAATTAAAGATATCATCATGAAATGAACAAATCTGAGAGAGGTCCACATGTAGTACCTATATATGTAATATCAAAGCAATTGGACTTGCGGTTTTCAACAAGAAGTTGAAAATATCAATTTTTACCAAAAATTACAAAAATATTCACCGAAATTAGAGAATTAAAGATATCATTACAAAATGAACAAATCTGAGAGAGGTCCACATGTAGTACCTATATATGTAATATCAAAGC